CCATAATCTCTAACTATTGAAATGTAATGTCAATCGACGTCTCCAGATGCCTTGATCTATCCCCTATTCTTCTCTTCACCCTTTCTATATCACTCCTCTTTGCTCTCGCTCCAACTCTCTGTAACTCCTTGGCGTTTCACCCACAAGCATGGGGTCAAATGTTTAACAGCTCGCTCACATAAGGGTGTGGATGGATTGTTCTAGTTATGGAATCTTCCAGGAGATAATTTCGGAAAATCTGAAAACTGTAAGAAAACCAAGATTAATATTTATGCGGAGATCCCTCTGGATTAATCTTCAGTCCACTAACAGAATTCGGTAGAATAAATTCCACATAAAACAATAACAAAAATGAATTCAACAAATGGATGATTTAACAGTATATAAAAACGATTATTTATACGTATTTCAAACAAACGATTGAGAGGCAAGAGCAACAAAATGAATTAGCGTAATTTAAAGTCTGTTAATCGTCCACATTCCTGTCATATTCCATTTGTAATGACGAAGTTCCACTCCCCAGAAGTGTTGCATTGTGGAACAGTTTCCAAATATGGTGCTTCTCCGATCACTACACTCTTAACTTCTTTAAGTGTAGGCTGAATCCTTACCTACATAAAACAGCCTCATTCAGAAACCCTCTACCTTGACTGGCTCTTGGGCCTTGTATTAGGTGAACAACAGTGTAGAAAAAATTGTATCTATAGCAATATCCATAAAATCCATAATAGTAAGATTAAGATTGATTAAACAAAGGCATCAAAATTGTCATGGCTTCATAGCAAATACTGCAATCATGTATAGGAAATAAGTCGATATCAAAATTCTCATAGTATATTTAGTGTGGGAGTATAATAATTCATATAGATTAAAAATATATATATCGCTATTTTTATAGTAAATATTTAGACGTGCTATATTACTTTGTTCCACCAGTTCAGACCTTCACAGCTAGGATCTACCGTATGACGTACAGAGGTCGATTCATGCATATTCAATTCTTATTCCATTTGTAAGGAGGAAGTTCCCCTCAGACAGCTTATTCTTTGGAACTGTCAGTTTCACACTCGAGAGGATGCTTCTTCGATCACTACGATCTTAACCTCTTCGTCTGGGATCGACCTTTATCTATCCTACATATCCTCAAAAGACACACTTCTTACTTCCTCCCTTTACTTTTTTACAGCAGACTTACTCAGTAACCCTTTACCTTGAGTGGCTCTTGGGCCTTATATTTGCTGAACATAAGTATACAGAATAGTATATAAGAAGGAACATTTTATACATGGTCAAACAAACAATTGCGATATTAAACTAGCCATGTGGATTGGTGTAATTTAAACACTGTTAAAACAGGAAAGGTTTTGAATGTACTCTTTTGAAGGATTTGAGTTCAAATGAAAGGTCAGTATGCGTGCGCATGCGTGAATAAGATGGTGGATTAGAGTCATGCAAACCTTTAGCTGTTGCCCTTGGTATCAGCGTGTTGGCAAAGTCAGTAGACGATTAAAGATAGTTCCAGTCGGCGCTAAGCGAGTATGCCTACTAATTTTCTGGGTTGGCAAACTATTGGGTTGGTGCATAATTATCAGGCGTTTTTGTAGACGAGTTATTTGTTAATAAAAATTGCTGTTTTTTTTTTTTTTTCTTTTTTAAATAAAAATATTGTTTTATTTTTAGGTTATAAAAATGCGTGTCGATAATCGTACGCTCAGGGATAACCATTTAAAAATGTTATTGTTGAATTGTTATGTTTCTTTCTTCATAATAAATAGCGTTTACAAAAACGCCTGATAATTATGCACCAATCCAACATTTGAATTTGATTTCAGAGGAACCGAACCTAAGATACTCCTCTTGTGTAGGAATATGTGTGAAGATCCTGCAAATCGCAACACAGCCAACAGGAAAAAGACTTTTCCAGTGCTTTTGAAGAGCAGTGTACTTTCACAATTGGATGGCGACTAAATTAAAATAATATAGGAAATATATTATTTCCGAGTGTAAAGACAATGATACTTAGGAAGAAATAAAGACACTGGGACACATTAGGAGGAAGGACGGCTTATAAAATTTGATGCCCACGAGGCCTATTGCAAGAAGTAGAGTTGCAAGCTAACAACTTTGTATGAATGGATGGCAGAGTTGGGACAAGTAGGAATGGTCAAAGTTTTTAAAGATTGTTTAGAGCTACAAGGGAAAGGAAGTTGTGGAGAACCATGATTTCTCACGTGAGACACGACATATAAATGATGATGATGATGATGATGATGATGATGAATGGCGGGCATTTTTCGTAGGCCTTGTTGAGGAATTTTTCAGATATAACCAGTTCCTCTAGTCCAGATCTTTACGACACGCCATAGTACATTCACAGACTCAAATCACCCCGTTTTCCTTACATATTCCATTTGTAACGAGGAAGTTTCACGCAAAGAGCCATATCTGATGACCTGCTAATTTGTAGAATAGACTCCGGCGTGGATGCCAACATACGTTCTTTACTTCTTCAATTCAAAGGTAAGTCGTTATTTATTCCCTTATCCTCATAATTATGACGTCCTTCTACCTCCTTTTACATTCATATTATACATCTCAATCAGTAACCCTCTACATTGAGTGGCTCTTGGGCCTTGTAATGTGCTAACGCCAGTATAAAAAAATCGGACTATAAAAAGGAAGATATATTTGGAGAAATTGAATTTTATGTAGTAAATTTCTCGGCAATATAAAATCAGAAAATTCTTTAAGAAATGTTTTTAAAAATTTCTCTGAGAGTACTGAATCAGTACTTGTAAAATTCTTTTATTATGGGTCAGGTGAATTTTTGAGTCTTCTATATTTCCTGTATTTTAAAATTGCGCTGATTTTTAAAGAAAATTGGTAAAAGTTTTAAATGTTTTAATAATACGCTTTGAATTCTGACAAATTGTCTTTTGCCTGCATATTCAACTAAACAAAACATTTATCCAGTCACAGAAAAAGAAAATGATCAAAAGCGGGAAAAAATATTTAAAAATGTCGAATTAAGTGTATACAAAGGAAATTTTACAGCCTTAGGAAGTGTGAATCGATTAAACCGTCGTGTTGCAGGAAATTGCAGTTCACTTGAGCTTTTTAAGTATCCCATTTAACTTTCCCAGGAAAGTTAAAGACAATCGCCATTCATTTGCCGGCTTGAATGATGATGTTTAAATCCATAGCGATGATTTCTGATTCTGACGGCTGTGTTGTGAATGAAAACAACCACGAAAGGCCATGGTCGATTTAAAACACGTACAATTTTCCCTAATTTCAACCCCTATTATTTTCTGCATTGACTCGAAGCTGCACAGACAGGAACGGCAAAAAGAGATCCGACATTCAAACCATTTTTTTTTAGTCCACTTGCATTTGTTATTCTCGTTTTAGGCTTTTTATTTGGGTATTAATTTACTTGATGTTTTTGGAATTCAGATTTAAATAAAAAAAAATGCTTCTCTGATTCGAAACGATCAACTTTTACTGCTTACAATAGTTTTAAACAGTAACCTCAAATTACTTAGATGAAGCATTTGCATTATTATAACATTTGGATAAGATTTTTTTTTCATATTCATGCTGCTTTACACCTAGTTGTTCTAGTAGATATAGTTGTCTTAAATTGCTCCAATGTTATTAGATGAAGCGTTATCAATATTTATTTTTTGAATAAGTTTTTCTTCTTTTCAATATATTTTTGTTGCTTCCCACCTACTAATAGTAGACATATTAGTCTTAAGTTGTGTCAGTGTAGCGCTAAGCAACATTTGACACTTCATCATCCCGCCTTGTCTTTGCTCTGTTCTCCATTTAAACAAACTCATTATATAAGTTACTCGTTGTATTGTATTTCCATACCTCTTCTTCACTCAATACGTCTTGTGAGTATTAAATTAAGTAGGTTACTCCCTGTCTTTTCTTGTCCCGCTTACGTTCGGTATGTCCGGCGAGTGTTAAATTTTCCAAGTCGTCCTACCTCAAAATGGATGCCAGACACTTCAACTGTGCCATTCCAGAACCCATTTTAAAAATTTCCTCTTTGTTTACCGCACCACATCTCTGTCGCTTCGAATCTCTTCAGATGTAAGGAAACAGAAGATAGATATATAGCAGTTCAGCATTCTTTTCTTTGTGTCTAACGAACTATTCTTGTGTTAAAACCCAGGTCTCTTTCACTATTTCAATGCATCTTCGGTTTATGTCACTATTGTCAGCGTCTATGGTATCCAGATATTTTGATTTATCTACCTGCTGAATTCTAGTGTCTTCAATATCGAAGATCACAACTTTTGGTTGCCTCTCTTGCTGATCAACGGAGATTTTATTTTCTTACAATTTAGTCCTTCTCGTTTTTTTAATTTCTTCTCCAGGAGATTTTTTTAAATTTTCCCTCTGCGTCCATCATCAGTAAAGTGTCATGGCTACCGATAGTAAATAATTCCTGTTTTCATGAATTTTGTAACTGGTTAACAAACCGATTTAATAGACTTAAACTCTTTAAATTTTTTTTAAATGAAGCATTATCGTTATTTATTTTTTATTCTTAAAATTGTATCTTGTTTTTTTCTTTTTTATCGCAACAGTCAGATCGTTCTTCGCATATAAAACAAGCAGCGGAGATCGAAAATAAAGCTTTTTACAAAATTTGAATTCGGACTTCAAAAGTGGGAACACCTTAATGGTGAGACTATAAAGACTAAGTGGCAAACAGCACTCGAATGTAGCCATACAGCTACATTATGAAATAATAAAAGCGAGTTAATCTTATGTTTTTAACATTGATAAGATGAAGTATGATCTGAAATAAAGCATTTCACGGTGAACAAACAAGAACGAACGTTTGCTTCATTTATTTTATTGTATTTTATTTATAAAGAATCTTTGATACAAATCCTTTTTTTGTTTGTTTTTTTGTTGTTGTTGTTGTTGTCGTCACAACTGGCCTTTTTCTTCAGGATCTGAGCAATACATATCCAGGCTTACGGTCACACCAAATTCAAACACCAGTTCCTGTACCATCACCGAAGTTAAGCAATGTCGAGCCTGGACAGTAACTAGATGGGTGACCAGTTGGGAATACTAGGTGATCTAAGCTTGTATATGCGAGCAGAATTGCTTATGGGAGAGCCGAGTACTAATTCCTCTTTCTTGGGATGAAATGATTAAAAAAAATCCCTAAGAATAATGTTTGAAGTTATATATATATATATGTATATGTATTAATTATTCAAATGTAACGAGAACGAAAAAAATTGAATAATGAAAAAAAGCAAGTGATGTTTCACCAGTAGCATTTTTAAATAGAATCATTTAAAACCATCTTTGTTCTTCAGCTGTCGAGATGCGTTCGCATCGGAACAAAAATGCATCTTTGTCGTGAGTACTTGTTTGTCCGTATGTAACATCTTTGTAATATATATATATATATATATATATATATATATATATATATATATATATATATTAGGGAAGCTCTGTTTCATAACATTGAACACTGTATTTATAACACCCGAGGAATAAATATACTTACGTACGTGCTTGTGCGTATATGTACATTTTTCTCCTACCAATTCCTATATATATATATATATATATATATATATATAGAGAGAGAGAGAGAGAGAGAGAGGGGGGAGAATTAATACAAGTATAAAGTTTTTCACTTAGCTGATTAGTGTTATCTTCAGCATTCCGACTCCAGAGTTTCGTAGACAGAACCTCCAGCAATCACTCCTTCCACTCGTCAATGGTCTCAGCAACTGACTGTTTATATATCTCGCTTTTTCTTTTATATATGCGTTTTTCGTTGGTGCAAGGTTGATTTTTTTTTCATAGTTTTATCATTTTTCTAGAGCGATAAATAGATAGATAAAAGTTCAAAAGACCAGTTCTTTTGTCTTCAGCTACACCGTTTTGCAGATACATCACCCGCTCATCAGGCTAAGATATATCTATTGAATTCCTTAACAGATATCCCACTTACATTTAATTTAAATGCGCTGCATATATAACGTTAATCCCTGATTCCAAACACAATTCAGACTGACTCGGGATTAAAGAATAATAACCTGACGTTATTAACATGATAACTTGAAATTTAATCTTGAATAGTTTGATTTATATTTTCATTAATCTACATTCTTCTATGGTCTGGTGCTTGTAATATACATTTAGAGATTCTTGATAAAATGCAAAATCCGTGATATCATGTCACTGGTCCTAACATGGTATCCCGTTTTCATTCACTTTCCCACCGCCATAATGTCGCTTTCTTGCGCCTTTTCATTAAATACTCTGTAATTGCTCCGATGCAACTTCCTCTGTGGTACCTAGATTTTATGAATGTAAACGCAGGACTAGATTGGCAGTTAGGTCTCATCGTTTTAGCGTTGAATTGGCTAGATGGAACCATAAGTTCTGTGCTATCACTATTCTATCACACTTCTCGCCTGTTTCATGCATTCAGCTAACTTCCATCTTCAAAACTTTAAACGAATTTAAATTATTGTAATATTTCAAATGATCATTTTCTAGTCAAGTATATTTATTTACGTTTTATTTATTTACTTTTATTTTTATTTATTTGCTTTTTTAATCTATTTATTTTTAATTATTTTTTATTTATTTTATTCAGTAATATTTTTATATTTAAATTTTTCTTTATTTTTTATCTCTTTTTTGTATTTTTCACGCTATTTTATCTTTACATTTTTATTAATTTTGTATTTTTCACACTATTTTATCTTTACATTTTTATTAATTTTATATTTTTCACACTATTTTATCTTTACATTTTTATTAATTTTGTCATTATTTTTTTTCTTTTTTATATTTTATTCATTTATTTCATATTTTTCATTCATTATTTAATTTAATTTAATTTTATTCATAAATCTCTGCCTATATCTAACGATCTCTATTAGTGGCTGTTCGGTTTCTCATCGTGCGAGTGAAGATATGACTTGAACCTTCATCGATTCTCCACTGAATTACTCCTCCCGTTTGACTGAGTCATTCTGTTTTATTTGCTGACCGACTTTTCCTCGGGTCATGCAGTATTGGGAACCGTAATTTTCAAATAACCCTATTGATTTGCCTTATAACTTTTATCCTGCTCACTGGTCGGTGGTTGAAGGCGTTTCTTGTATATCGCCATCATGTCGTACCATATCTTTTATTCTCTATGACAAATGAGGGGAAAGGGGCCCCTGTGGACCTTTACAACTATAGGCTTCATGATTATTTTTACAAAACAATATATATATATAATACAATATATATATATAATACAATATATATATATAATACAATATATATATATATATATATATATATATAATACAATATATATATAATACAATATATATATAATACAATATATATATATACAATATATATATATATATATATATAATACAATATATATATATAAATATATATATATATATATATATATAATATATATATATATATATATAATATATATATATATATATATAATACAAAATATAATATATATATATATATTACAATATATATATATATAATACAATATATATATATATATATATACAATATATATATATATATATAATACAATATATATATATATATATATAATATATATATATATATAATAAAATATATATATATATAATACAATATATATATATATATATATATACAATATATATATATATATATATATATACAATATATATATATATATACAATATATATATATATATATATATATATAATATATATATATATAATATAATATATATATATATAAATATATATTGTTTTGTAAAAAATATATATATATATATATATATATATATATATATATATATATATATATATATATATATATATATATATATATATATATATATATATATATATATATATAAACGATAGAAATTTTATATATATATATATATATATATTAATTAAGCATGGCTTAGTTTGGGATATAGTGAGTCAGACAGGGAGAATCTCACTCGTCTCGCGAAGGAAATTAGCCTGCCAGTGTGACATACAAAAGCCACCTTCCTCGCTAGACGGCTTACGGCCGTATCACGTTGAAACATCGGTTCTCGTACGATTATTGAAGTTAAGCAATGTCGAACTTGGTCATTACCTAGATGGGTAACGGTTTGGGAAAACCAGGTGCTGTTAGCTTGGACGTGCGAGTGGTGTAATGGATTACGGCTCGGATTTACAAATCCTTGTTACAATTCCAGTCAGTTTTGTTCTACTCGCTTAAGCACAAATACCCTTGGGAAAGGTATGAATCCACCTCTTTTGGCCCACAGCTAAAATTATTAGGGCATGTATCAAAAGGTACAACAGGTTGATAACCCATAAAAAGCAACCAATCAATAAATCAATCCTCTCTAGATGCCTATATCAATATATATTCAAATCGAGTTAAAATGATGCAGCCTTAAGAAGTTTGAGTGAAACTAGCGATAAAAAAATATTTAAGAAGTTCGTTTTCCGGTTGCTATTGTATATTTGATTTTATTTTTTTTTAAGCATTTCACCCCAAGCAAGGCGGGAAGCCACTAGGACGCAAGGGGTTACAGAAAATATAGAGCGAGATCAGATAGGAGTGATAGAAGAGGGTATGAGGAGAAGGGTAGTGGCATAGATCAAGGCAACTGGAGATGTCGATTGACATTACACTTGAATAGCTGGAGATTATAGCTCACAGGGAAACAGGAAAAGGGAAGGGAGTTCCACAGGCTAGAGGTGCGAGACATGAAGCTATTAGAGTAGAAGAGACGGCTACATTTAGGAGTTTCGACAGTGAAGGGGTGAGAGCGGGATGCCAGTCTCGTAGGGCGCTTGAACTCATGAAGTCTGGGAAGGAGACCTCGTTTCTTGAGCGACTATTGGGCCTCAAAATCAATCCAGACCTCAATTGGAATTCGTACATGCGATCAATCCCTAAAAATGCTGGAAAACTTGTCGGCTCTCTGTACCGCTCCATTAAGTACCTGACTCTTTGTGCTAGCTTCTGCTTTTACAAGAGCCAAATTAGGCCAAAAATCAACTACCGCTGGATACGAGCAGTCCAGTCTTCACTTTCCTCTCTCGATAGAGGCCAAAAGCGTCTCCGCGTCCTCGTGAGTGACAAATTACTTTCCACCCTGCAGCCCCTCTCTCACAGACGAGATGTCACAATCCTAGCTCTGCTTTATCACTACTTCTATGGAAACTGCTCAGACTAATTGCATTCCTTAGTTTCACCTATTCTAACCTTCACGTTAGGACCCGCCATACTATGCCCATTGTAGTGAACCATCCTCATTCCCCCCGTATTCCATCTGTGAAAAGTAAGTTCCACTCAAACAGCTTCTTCCCACGAACTAATGCTCTGTTGAACCAACACACAAGAGGATATTTTCCTGATCATTACAATCTTAACCTGTTCAAGTCTAAGGTTAACAGCCACCTTCCTCACATATTTACAAAAACTTACTTACTTTGAAACCCTCTACCTCGAGTGGCTCCCGTGTCTTGTACAGGGTGAACTTCACTTTAAAAAAAAACTTTCCTTATTAAAATTTAAAGTGTTCCCCAGAATTTTAGTTATCCTACAAGTACAGCCTGAAGTAAAAGAAGTTGAGAAAAACTGGCCCAGATTATGGCTTGTCTCCCTCCCTCCCACAAACAGAGCTGAAGATTAGCCACTGCCAGTAGGGAATTTTTTTTCTTCAGAGGAATTCAAATGATACACCTGCTTTGCATGCACTTTTATGTCAGATACTCTTTTGCCAGACTGCTACAAGTGGAATAACTGATGATGTCAGCAGCAAGGTTCAACGTCCTCTAAAATCATGAGCGAAACATAATAAAATAAAAGGCGTTACTTGTAGAGTGAACCTTCTGTATATATATATATATATATATATATATATATATATATATATATATATATATATATATATATACTTAAATATACAATGTAATGTCTTCAAAATAAGTGCTTCTTTATTATTGTTCTATTTTCGAATTTCCTGACTACTGCTCTATCGCTACTTCCATGGAAAGTGCTCCGATAAACTACATTCCT